AGCTTCGCAGTAAGTGGCTTTCGCGGTAAGTGGCTTTCGTATGGATGGGTCTTGCGGGGAGTAGGGCTTTGTCACAGTAACTAGTCTTTTCATCGTTGTTGAGAATTAAAGTTTTATGTTTCTTTAACAACTGGCGCTATTCTGGGAATACCATCCTTGGAAGCTATAAATTTGGCCTTATGATTTGTGATGTTGCTCTGGCAGGAGTTCCAAAATAAGACCCATGCTCTGATAACGCTCATAGTTTTAAAAACCAAGAAACATTATCATTATGATCTTATTGCAAAGGATAGTTGAATATGTTTTCCAATATAGAAAAATTATAGTACGTAACAGATATATAACACAGTCTCAACAATGAAATAAAGAAATGTATATATATATATATGTGTGTGTGTGTGTGTGTGTGTGTATTTTTACATTATTACTAATGCATTGCAATACAACTAATAAAATTGAAAGAAATTGCAATATAAAATATTCCGTCAGTAACACTTCTAAAGGGCGTATTTCACGGTCAGTATTATTTACGAAAATATTTGTTTATAATTTTATAAATTGGCTTGGCAATTTCCATCCCAATTAGATATAGTGTGCACATATGTTAATAAATAAAATTAAAGATACACTACCAAAAATGAAATACATGTATTAATTATTGGCGATCCGCTCGGCTGGGATTGCCCTTATAATCACTTCACTTTTGTCGTTGTGTGTGTGTGATTTCCAGTGTTTTCACGTATTATTTCTTCTGTGATTTTTTTTGGCTTGGCCGATATTGCTCAAACTTGGCAGGTAGGTCACACCTTCACCCTAGTTATTAAGAACAATCACCAGCAGCGGCTTTTAACTCCTCTGTGGTTGCTTTTGGCTCGGCTGATTTTGTTCATAATTCACAGTAGGTCGTACCATCAGTAATTGAAAAAAATCCTGGCCCACCACTGCCATTGCAACAGCCAAAAACTGATTTTTGAATACTTTCGCTCCAAATGTATTACCTCCTATGTTTAAAAAAATAACTTACTCCTTTAATAGA